CTCTCTCTCTCTCTCTCTCTCTCTCTCTCTCTCTCTCTCTCTCTCTCTCTCTCTCTCTCTCGTTCGTTTCGAAAAAGTAAACAGGAACGCATCTTTTTTTTTTTTTTTTTTTTTGAAACAGCACATGCTCCATCTATTGGCGGGGAGCAGCATCTGCTGGAAACCGGGTTCAGCGTCCCATAGGTACAACCATGTCCTCTTTTTTCACAAATAGGCACAAACTGGGAACCGGGCCCAGCGTCCCATAACAGGCAAGTTCAGAAAAGTCTTCAGAAAATTCCATGAAAATGAGGCTAGAAGGCTACTAAGAGTTTAGAGCTACATAATACCGGGGCCATTGCCCGGCTTTGGATCAGAGATATTGGAACCGCTTCAGACATATCTACAACCCCCAAACAAATCCCCTGATCCCCACTCCAGCAAGACTTACTGCAGCAGAGCCACCATCTTTGCTGCTGCTATGCTTTATTACCATCGTACCGGCTAGCCCACTCACTAGTAGGACGCGTGATACCCCACCTGCAAATGCCACAGTTCTGTCTTCGTCATCGAAAGGGAGGTCCCGGCAGGCCGACAAGTGCAATAGTTCTGTCTTTGTCATCGAATGGGAAGTCCCGCGTACCTCCCAACTCCATCCTAGTAAAGGGTTTGAAGGACCATATCCTCGGCCCGAGCCAGGTACAATCCTCACCTGCAATCTCCTGCCCCCTCGGAGATTCCTGTCTCCATCTTCGAGAGGGCAAGCCAGCGCTGCCCGAGGCCAATTAACAGCGATCTCGTCAAAACGGACATTTTATATTTTTTGAACGAAATTTAAATTGTCATTTTCATGCTGATTTTGGTGATTTTGTGTGTTTTGAGCATACTATTTCGAGTAGGTACCCCACATTGTTTATAGTTTGTGCTCATGTTTACCACAAGTTTTACATTGGTTTCTCACACATTTTGGGGGGTGTTACAGTTTCATTCGCATTATGTGAAGCTATAGGGGTCTTCATTATGGGTTTCTATTGTACTTTTCTATCATATCGATTAACATTTACTATGTTTCGCAATATAGTATCAGTTATTTTTTGTTTTTTATTGACAAATGCATTAAGACAACAGGCATATATTGAATATCATACTAAAAAACACACATGGCAGGTACAGTCAATGACAAGAAAACTCCATGGACATCTATAAATGTTTGAGACTTTTCGTGCCAACCAAGAATTACGAACAATGTTATGTGAATCTTTTCGAAGTTCATGTAAAAGAAAATTGACTTCTTAAGATAAATACAAAGAAACATTGGTGCGGATTTTGGCTCATGCGACATATGATACATGTGCGCGAAAATATATGTACATAGAGAGACTCCATGTCTCTCTCTCTCTCTCTCTCTCTCTATATATATATATATATATATATATATATATATGACGATGTATATATAACTTTGACTAAGACAATGTCTATGAAAGTTGGTGCCGTAGACTTCATACACTCCTCCACACTATTGTTGATGTGCAGTCGTACATGATCGTACAAAAGGTGGAAATCCACTTCGACATAATTTAAAAAAAAAAAAAAAACTAAAATCCGGCACATTACGAAAAAAAACGATATGAGCACTCGTACGAGCGCATGATCTACTCTATTGCCATCTCCGGCAACAGTGCTAAGCTACAACTTTTTTACAACAAAATGTCCGGAAGTGCTACAGCGGCGCAAGTGAACAAGGTCGTTGCTCAGACCGTTGGCTCGGCGGAGTACACTCTTTGCAATGTTGAAGTTGGTGGTTAACTTGATTTTTTTGAATTTGCGGTTGACCCCCGTTTTTTCTTCGTTCTCTACGATGACTGTTGAGATAGAAGCAGTGATGGCAGTCCTCCGAGCAACGAATTCTAACATTGCATCCCGTGCGTGAATACAATATTGTTTAACGTGCTGCTTGTACTCTTGCACCATCGAGTCTCCTGCATCACTCTGCGGGATCTTTTGTCTCCATGTCTTCATTACACATATTGTAAGCCCTTCGTGGTATTGAACAGCAACACATGCAATGGTAGCGCTGCATTTCTCTGTCACCGGGGCAGCCACAAGGCCGTAACCGTAGAATACCTCCTTGTATCTTGCGTTCCCGTCCTTCTTGTAATTATTATTATTCTGACGGCCACACACCCCCACGAGGTTGTAAATCTTTCTTCTCCCGCTTAGAGGATACAAGTGCAGTGATGGTTCGTAATATGCAAAATCCAAGGTGACAAGTCCGACGGCGTTACGCTGTCTCCTCAACCGGTCTGATATCAGTTCCCCCCATTTGATTGACGTTCCCCACCAATCTTGTCTTAACTGCCTCTGGATCCATTCCGGGTCCATACTGCACGGACCAATAAGAAAAAGATAAAGAGAGAACAAAAAAAAGAAACACATACATCAAAAGCACAGATGAACGTCGGTCAATGTGGATAAGCACGCAAGACGGATTGCAGGTTGTTCTGTTTGTCACTTTCGCGCCGATGAATATGATCGACGATATTGAACTTTGTGACGGTGTTAGTTTTTTTAAGTTTTTTCGTTTTACCCTCTTCGTTGCGGCATGCTATCACGGTCGTCGCCACGTGAATGGCGATCCTCGACCTTTCGTTGATGACACGCAACATTGCATCTTTGATCTCGTTGAATAGACGTCTGACAAGCTTCAGCGTCGCCCTCCTGTAGTTGCTATTTTCAAACGTCGACGGCACCTTCGTTCGTTCAATCCGTGTTGCGCACCATGTCAGACCACCGTCTGAATAGAACGCCACGCACGTTACCGATCCATGATGCTCACCCCCCCTGCCCCACATGTGAACAAACCCCAATCCGTAGAACACTTCGGTCCATTTGCCGGAGTCGTGGCTTCCGAAGTTCGCATGCGACACTATCGTCTTGGCGAGCTTGTAAACTCCATCTCGCATCTCGTCGTACCACAGATCAATCGAGGGCCAAGATGCGCACCAGTCGGTGCAGTCTATACCGATAGCTCTCATTTGCGTTCTTGTTTTTCATGAGATGAGTTCCTGTCAGCGCACAGGTGTCCCCCATTTCTCGTTGCGCTTCCGGTCTGACGATGCAAACATTCTAAACACAATGAATGAAGGAGAAAAACGCAATCCAATGGAACAATTAGCGATGTGAACTAATCTGTTCGTGTTCAAAAGTTGATCTCCATTACGCATGTCACACGTCACGACTACACAGATGTGTCTGAAGCAGATCCCATATCGTGCGTTGATGAAGGCGTTTTGTCAGGGACAGCCAACAACAACTGTGCATTGAGAGCTTCTCGTTTCGGGATCCGCATACCTGTTTCAGAACGTTTATTGCTGGACCATGCCCACACAACGGTGTCGAGGTCTTGCCACCCATCGTTTGTTTCAGTTTCGACCTTCCATGATTTTTCCCATGCGCCTGCATACAGCTTTGTCAAATCGCGCTCCTTTCCGCAAAGAGTCCAGTACTTGACACGGATGCAATTACCGTCCTGCTCCTGAACTCGTCCAATCCAGAATGTGCAGCCCTTTGCAACATACTCGTCGGACGCGCGGAACACGACGAAGTTGTTCACGGCGACAGACTCGTGCGGTTTGAACTCCGGCTTCGGAGCGTCTTTTTTGTAACCGACGAAGCAAGGTTTCCTCTGTGGCGAGTCGAGAATATGCTGCGCACGTAACAGGAGATCTTGTTTGTCGGGCATGGGGGCTGGCCAGAAGGCACCTTGAAAGGGCACCGTGCCGCTCTCCTCTTGCGATATATTTTCAAACTTCTTGAGATGGTCGGTCCAATAGCTCAAGCGTCTACGTTTCATTGCTCTTGTGTGTTCGTCTTGTGTCACCCATTGGTTTTGTGTATTCTCCCACGATTTATGAAGAACACGTACCCCCGCCATCCTGTTAACGAAATCGCTTGCCAGTGGATTAGGCGACTCACGGCAAGGTTGGAAATCCCATTGAGGCTCTACCCACCCATTGTTTGCGTCCCTCACAAACCAATACACAGGGCCAGTATCTGGCTCCCATTTTTTGTCAGTGCAGAACTCCTTGTACATCATGGCGGGGTTGTCCCCATCCATGTAAAATCGGAAGAGGTGTGGCATAGCATGACCCTTGATTTTATGGTCGATGTATGGATCTATGGCGGTTTTCCAATCAGCAATTTCAGTGAGCAATGTGCAATCGACTTCCTCTTCGCAGGACGCTTTGAGGACATCGAAGAGCTCATCCATGGTATACGCATCGCAACCGCTCAACTTTTTTGCAAACAAGCTGAACTTTGCATTTATGTCCGTGTGTGTGTGACCCACTATCATGAACCCCATTTCGACGACCTCGAATATACGAAATTTGACTAGCATGGTCATGAAGGTGAACACATACTTGTTTTTGTTTTGTCCCCCACAGTTGTCGGCTTGCACCCGCAACTTCGGCGGGAGCGCCCCCTTGCGTGCCTGAACATCTCTCAGCACTTTGGCGATCGAGGTGACGACCGAGTTTGAGCCGTGCGAAAGGTACGGAAACCACGTGTGGACAATGAGCGATGGTGTCCTACCGTGCGCGATCATCCTAGTGAGATTTGTTTTCATCATCGTGTTATTCGACATTTCTTTTGACAAACGCCTTCTCGATGCGTGGGGTATCGTTGTTTTCGCTTGATCCATTTCATCGATGATGATACACAGACTCTCTTTCAGCCTGAGCTCTGAATCAGCGGACCACATACTGTACTGTTTCCGGTGTGCCGACTGTAGCGCAAGATGACTTTTCTGTTTTGCGACAAGCGCCCTTTTCGGCTCGGGCAGAGCACCCTCTATGAGGATGTTATTCTTAATGCACTCGTTGCATCTCGTGTGGTCGGTCACCCTTGCGAGACGAACGTGCCAGAAGAAGTCCCTCCACATCTTGCAGAAGACCTGGTACGACGCGCAACAGACTCCAAGCTTAGAGAGTCGTCTACGAATACTGAGGAAGACGTCTTTCTTTGTGGTGAACACCGACGGGAGCCGAATGAGGTTTCTGATCTCGAAGTTCGGGCCTGTCCCAGTCGGATCTGGCATGGGATCAGACTCGTCCAAGATGATGTCCTCGAACGCTGACCATGTAATGGCATAGGTCGCTGTTGTCCGAGGACGACCTTCATGGCCATGAACAGCGTCGACGTACCGTCATCGAGGTCATCGATGTATCTTTTGTATGTGTTCCTACCGACGCCGAGTATGAGACACCACGCAGTGACGCAGACAAGGTGCAACTACACTATCGGTTTGACTGTGGGCTTACGGTCAACTAATGAAATAAAATTCTGTAGTTTCGCCATCCACCACTTCCATCTTTCCTGCCCTCTGAGAACACGGCAGTCACGTCTACATTTCATAACGTCCTGCACTCTAAGTTTAGAAAGACAGCGAAACGTCTTGCAATATGTTTTGTGGAGGACGGCCTCGCACTTGTCGACGCTACATCTACGTTCGAAAGTGGAGTTGGATGCCGAAGAACTTATTTTTCTGAGTCTGTATATGTATTTTCTCTTTCCTTTTCCACCGCACAACATAGAGAAGGCAGATATCGCGGTGTCTTCTCCGACTGGCAAGTCGACGTCCTACGAACGACCAGCACGACCCCCCCCCCCTTCACTGCCTTCACACGACGGCAACGAAAGCATGTCCACCGGAACATAACGATCGTCAGTGCGAGTTGCCGGTGGCGAATGACCCCGAAGTGAAGGGTCTAGAGACCCACACGCCGGTCCTGCGTCGTCATTAGAAGGCAAGATGCCGACGTCGTTGATGATGTCGTCAAGACGAAGACGCCGCACGACGTTGACATTGGCAGATGGCACAACCCGGTCTCTGAATTGGCGCCCGGGCATACCAGCAACACGGTGTGCACGATTCCCATGTTTCGATGGTGTGACGACAATGTCTGGGGACCGGCTCTCGCAAGAGTTCTCATGAGCATCGGGCGCGGGGGTGTGAAAAGACTGCACAGATTGAAGCGAACTGTAGCAGCAAATTTCCATCCCACCCGCCATTGAATTGCTAACATAGATGGGAACGGCCTGTGAGAGAACACAACAGAACAAAAAAATCGAGAACAGAAAGACACATGAGAAGAAAAGCCGGCCCCCCCTCACTACCCACCTCAGGAAGTCCGGGCCACTGGACCGATTCAGAGGGACCTGTGGACCCAAAACGCCGCAATGCGCCAACGGAAGGGAGAGGGGAAGAGAGAGAGAGAGAGCGAGAGAGAGACAGAGAGAGAGCGAGAGAGAGAGAGAGAGAGAGCGAGAGAGAGAGAGAGAGAGCGAGAGAGAGAGAGAGAGAGAGGCGGCAGGACAGAACCCCTCCCTGTCCGCAGCACGAAGGGGGTCCAGGTTTCCGGGAACCCCGGAACACCTTGGTGTTGTGGCCATCGAGGGGGCGAAACGGACCCCATTCGTCCCTCACAACATCAAGGTGCTGTGGTCATCGAGGGGGCGGGACGGACCCCCTTCCTCCCCCGCAGCACGAAGGTGCCGTGGCCACTGAGGGGGCGGGATGTACCCCCTCCTCCCCCACAGCACCTACGGGGGTCCGGCGTTGAGGGAACGTCGGACCCCCTTGGCGCTGCGGGCACCGAGGGGGCGGGACAGACCGCCTCCTCCCCCGCAGCACCCAAGGGGTCCGGCGTTCCGGCGCTGCGGGCACCGAGGGGGTGGGACGGACCGCCTCCTCCCCCGTAGCATTAAAGGGGTCCGGCGTTCCGGGAATGCCGGACCCCCGAGTTACTGCTGCGGGCATCGAGCATGTGGGACGGCCCCCATTCATCCCCCGCAACATTAAAGGGGTCCGGCGTTCCGGGAACGCCGGACCCCCTTGCTGCTGCTGGCATCGCGTGGGTGGGACGGACCCCCTTCATCCCCCGCAGCATCAAAGGGGTCCGGCGTTCTCGGACGCCGGACCCCTTTGCCGGTACGGGCATCGAGGGGGTGGGACGGAACCCCTCCTCCCCCGCAGCACCTAGGGGGTCCGGCGTTCCCRGAACGCCAGACCCCCTTGGCGCTGCGGGCACCGAGGGGGTGGGACGAACCGCGCTCCGGCCCCGCAGCACCCAGGGGGTCCGGCGTTCCGGGAACGCTGGACCCCCTTGGTGCTGCGGGCACCGAGGGGGTGGGACGGACCGCGCTCCGGCCCCGCAGCACCCAGGGGGTCCGGCGTTCCGGGAACGCCGGACCCTCGTGGTGCTGCGGGCATCGAGGGGGTGGGACGGACCCCCT